TTCAGACCTGATTATAATACATTTAAAACAATATTTTGAAAAGACTGGTGCAAAATAGTTAAAGCAAAACAAAATGTAAATTTTTTTAAAAAGAGTTATTTGGTTTTGTTACCCGCAGTTGGCACAGTTGAAGTGATCTGGATGATAGGGATCATTTTTGAAGATGAGAGGCTGTTCATCAATGATTGCATGGCATTTCTGGCAAATGTACTTGCCCAGGCCCCTGGCTTTCTCTCGATTGTGGCAGGGACGGCAAAGGTGCCTAGCAGAGATCAAGGAAGGAGGGGAAAGCAATACAATGTTACTTGGAGTTCTACTACAAAAAGCAAAACACAGAACTTTTGCTTGAGCTCTATATATAGAAAAGCACTTAGTGACATCCTGCAAAGAAGTATAGTAGTTCTCCTAACAGCGTGAACATTAAAATAAGAGAGGCATAAGGGGGGGAAACTTTTAATAGTTAAGGTACAGAATGATCCTGAACACCCTGATCCAATGTAATTTTACCCATGGAGATAATCACAAATCAGAAAACTGGTTTATGTAATTACAGCACTGTAGAACTGATACAAACTTAATGGTTGTCTAGTACAATACCCTGCAGACAACCAAGATTAAAACAATGTGTGTTCACATTCTTAGGACTAGCATTGGTAGTCCTTTTACTGTATGTACATCTGTGAGACTGAAAAGTATTCTGTGCACAAGTTAAATTGTTTGGTAGTGTTATGATTGTTGAATTTATTCCCTCACAGATTTTACAGTATTATTGGTTTTTGTAGACAGTGGTATTACTACCAGTGGTGAGTTTAAGGGTCACCCTGCAAAAACAAAATTGGTTGAAGAAACAACTAAAAAGCTTTATGTTAGGAGAGGGACAGAAGAGCTGGGACACTGGTTGGGAAGTGCCAGAGTTAGTGTGCGCTACAATTGTGTGTACGTGTTACGTTGTCTCAACTTAACCCAGCAACAATAAGGATGGGATTTGTCCCCCAAAACAAGGTTCCAGGTTTGACTGCTATGACAGACCCTTTCTACCAACTGAGGGGACCCACACAGCCTCTGATGGTTTTGAGGCAACAGGTTTGTTTAGAGCTGTAAACCTTCCACCTCAGCTACAAGATGTTCTTAAGGAAGCTACTGTGTAAAGGCTTTCGGTTTGATGCCATGAGGTTAAGTTTTGTGGTGAACAAGAACACGGAGATCACGGAGACAGCACTTGTATGCAAATAACAAAGATTTATTTATTTATTTATTTACAGATTGGTTTTAAAGAACAAATCACCAGCACAGGTCTCCAGACCGTTAAAGGAGAAGCCTGGTTGAGGCACATAAAGTTAAACTAGTTGTGGCTCCAGAGTGTGTTTTAAATTCTCTTTAATGCTTGCAGGTACAAACTGGTTTTTCACAGACTAGCCATCAGGATGGATCCTTTCTCACACACAGGATCCCACCAAGTAGCAGTCTGCCCTTTCCCAAGTGTCAGACTAAACTGTACAAGGTCTGCTCATCACCAGAGACAGGCCTCACAACTGGGTAGAGTGAAACCACACTGCCATGCTACCAGGCAGAGCTACCCTTCAAACTGCTCTCTTGCTGAGGCAGACCCAAACTATGCTTGCTCTTTCTCTGAGGCAGATGTGACCTAATTCGTGCTGCGTTTTCCTCCAACATTCTATTCCACCCCCCCACCCCCCGAAAGGGGATTGGATGCTGGAGCAGCACTCTCAAAGACTCAGGGATAAAACAGTTGAGTGATTGTTTTCCCCTTCAGGGGCAGGACAGCCTCCTGTTCATCACAGGTGCTACAGCAGGAAATTCACACAGAATGCACAGCAACCCCTAATTAAACAGCAGCCGTAATGTTGACAGCATATTTTGATAGGATAAGGTCCTAAAAATGTAACCTTAGAATCAAGCTATGCTCGTAGATAACAGGAAAAAAAGTTGATGATTACCTGCCAGCATTCTTCACAAATCCAATGTCGGCCAGTACCTGTTGGCAGATATCACAGCAGAAACATTCTGGATGCCAGCTATTGTTCATTGCTTTAATGACACGACCAATAATGAACTCCCCTGCAAGCAAATACATATTGGGATGTTACAAAAAAGGCCAATTTTACAATGTAAGATGCTGTTGACAATGTGCTATCTGATTACTTCTCTGAGTAAACTCTCCTGCCACGCATTATCCTCGACTAACATTCAGACAAATTATGCTTAAATAGTAAACTGGGCATTTTATCTGTACTAAATCTGGTATCTGATTTTGACTCAGCTGAGTTCCCCCAAAACTACAGGGTATCACGTTGCATACAGTGGGGTGGATTCTATAACTCTCTCCTGGTAAGTCTTCCTTCAACAGAGAATAACTTTTTTCTGATGGAAAAAGCTGTTGTGACAGACTGCACTTTTAAAAGCTTAGAAGTGTTATATAAACAGATACAGAACTATGAAGGGTTAATTCTTCACAGAGCCAGAGAGCCTTGAGTGACAGGCTGCTCCAAGAGATCTGATTGGTTAGCATCAGTTGAGCAGAGAAAGACTTCTGAAATGGATGCTGAGGAGAATTCATTCAGAATTCAGCCTTGACTGAGGGCAGTTTAATACAAATGGAGAACTGGGGGAAAGTTGGCAAGGAAGAGTGGGTAATTAGATGAAGACTCTCATTCAGGCCAAGAAAAGAGGATAGATCTTCTAGTGACAGAAGAAATTTCCCTACTCAGTTTAAACAAGGAGACAGATCTGAAGACTGGAGAGATCCCTGGTCTGGTGTAGTTAGAAACTGTCTTGTGAAACCATAAGAGTCAGATAAAACACCAGTAAGAGTACTGGTGTTTCAAGAGAAGGGGTTTGGGTACTGGATAGAGTATCCTAACCTTCTGAAAACCAAAAGAGTCAGTGAATACTCAAATAAAGTGTACTGGAGTGTTTGGGAAACACTGGAACAAAAGCCTCTCATCTTAAAGATCTTAAGTCACTGATAAAAGCTTATGAAACTTTCAATAGCCTGAAACATATGAACTAGTCTGTGGATATACTGTTGCACTTCAGAGTTCTATACTGAGTTACCTCAGAACTGTTACCCTGATTTCACCTGACCTTTCCCCTCTGTGTTGAATAAAATATTTTGTTAATTTGGAATTTCAAAATGCCTCAAGTGCCATTTAAGTTTAAGGGGGCTCTCAATCCTTCACTCAGGTTCCTGGGCTAAGCCAACAGACAAAATATACTGTGACAGGGTGGGACAAACAGAGTTCTTCAGCAAAGAAGACAACATATACCTAGGGTGGCTCAGTCAGAAAGGGAAAGAAAAACAGAGGGAAAATCTCACCTCTAAGGGAGGGAAGTGGGTGGAGGTGTCATAGCTGTCCTCTAATGAATAGAAGTTTTTCTTTATTGAAGGAGATCTTTCTCTGAGGGAGGGAAAACTTGGTGGAAGAGGGGCAATAAGATCTAACCCAATGTCTTTTTTGTTAGATTTAGCATTATGGAAACTCCTAATACGTGTGTGTTTGTGTGTATTGTTGAGTTCTCTAAAATACAGTATGTTGCGATTCAGGCTGCCAACGATTTAAGACTATTTATTTATTTATTTGTTCGACTTTTATCCCGCCCTCCCGCCTAGGCGGCTTTGTGTTCCTTCCACTAAACACTTTGTGTTCCTTCCACCCAGTGCTAGGATGCCAGTAAAACCCTTATAGGATCTTGCAGCCTTATTGGGATGTATAGAAATAATGGGATCTTAAGAGAAAAAAATGAAAAGCAACGGACTAGACAAAAGGCTGTGGTTCTCATATCTGTCCATGAAAAAGTCCCAACAACGACCTTCCTCTGTACAAGAGCCATCTCTCAATTTCTCCTTAGACGCAAAACTACCTTTCCACAGCATCTAGTTCCCTGGAAAACCATATCAGAATTCCATTTCTTCATAGGAATAAACTGTCCTAGAAAGCCTATTCAATCTATTATAAAAATCCTTCCCTTTATAGTCAGCCGTACATATTGGCCATGATTCAAGATTTCCATTTGTTGATGGCAGAGCTGGATGCCTATGACTGCACTGGGCACTCTCTTCTTCCATAGCTTACAATGGAGAAGGCTCACTTAGATGTGCAGCTACTTCTCTAGATTACATTCCCTATTTAAAACTGGGGTAAAACCATCCCATAAAACTGAATTTTAGCTACCACGTTACTGATAAAAAGCACAATTTGTCCATGCTGATTTCATTACCATTATAACATTACTATCAGTGTTCCCTCTAAGCTGAGTCAGTGTGAGCTAGCTCACAGTTTTTTAGCCTCCAGGTCACACATTTTTGTCTTAGCTCAGGAAGGATGGCTTCACAGGGAACTAATTTATGCAGTAACCAAATCACTCACTCACAACTTTAATGCCAGTAGCTCACAAAGTAGATTTTTTGCTCACAAGACTCCACAACTTAGAGGGAGCATTGGTTACTATATTCCAGAAATGGCACCTCTAATACTTGTAATATCATCTCATTCCAATTAACGTATTTGATTTGATACTCTCAGCAAAAGGCAAAACAGATCAAGCAGCTGGCAAGAGAGAGAAAAAACACCGCTTATGTGATACACTGAAATTATTTCTCAATAACCCACTCTTCATTTACATGACACAAATTTTAGAAGCTTAAACAGGATTATATATGGCTGCAGTTGGGCATGGAACAGTGATGGAAAACTTAGGGAAAAGAGGTACATCACAGAAACACTAATACCACACCAACTAACAGAAAGCTAGAAGCATTTACTTTTGAGTGAGATTCCACTCGTTACAACTCGAAGAGCAACAAGATTTCTAGAGTATAAGCTTTCGAGAATCAAAGCTATCTTTATCAGATATAGATCAAGATGGGTAGCTGTGTTAGTCTGTCTGTAGAGCAGTAGAAAAGAGCAAGAGTCCAGTAGCACCTTAAAGACTAACAAAATATAATTATAATTCATAGACTTTTATTGGCATATCATGACTAACAAAATATGTGGCAGGGTATGGGCTTCCATGAGTCACTGCTCACTTCTTCAGATAGAAGTGAGCAGTGACTGATGAAAGCTCATCCCCTGCCACATATTTTGTTAGTCTTTAAGGTGCTGCTGGGCCCTTGCTCTTTTCTACTTTATCAGATACGTATCTGACATGGCCTATACCCTGGAAACCTTGTTGGTCTTTTTAAGGTGCCATTGGACTCAAATTTTGCTCTTCTCCAGCAGACCAACATGGCTACCAACCTGCAACTTATTTTTGATTAAGCAGTGTAGACAGTTGGGGTGGAGATCAGAAAAAAATGTTCAATCTCCTATGTAGCAATATGGATTTATATGATGGCACTGAGTTCCAATAGCAGCAGATATGTATCTGGTTTTTGATGGCTTGGCTTCTTTTATACATAGCACACACAGCATTCCTCTTTCTCCACACCGGACTGTCCATAAACTATGCTTTTTTAAAAGACAAAATCTTACCACACTGATGGCAGCAAGGGGCAAACAGCATCTGAAAGTCATGTTCACAATACTTCCTTCCTTCAAACTGAAAGCAGAGAGATATACAATGCTATTAGACAGAGGAATATAGAAAACATGATCCTTTGTAGTTCACATATCTAATGGATGTGCAGTTCAGTTTCTAGTGTTCCTAGCAGCTATTTTGATTATGATAGAAAATTAGGGAATTGAAATTCTGTCTATCATCTGCATGCAAACAACAAAACTGGCCGGGAAACAGTGTGTTCATTTTCCATACTGATGTTTACATTAGGTGCAATTTATATTATCGTCATGATGGGATGGTAAAGATTTGGCCAGAGATCCACAGGTACTGGATCAGAATTATGAACACCTGATGTTCGGAACAGGAAGCACTTTCTGCTAACTCATCTCTCTTGGCACTTCCTGGAAGTATGTCCCAGTGTATTAAAGGAAACACATGCATAAAGGAAAAGCTTGTGCCAGAAATCTACATAATTTGGCATGCAAAGAAGCATTTTCCATGGACTGTAATCCTCATTTCAGCGTTTTGACAATGCTGATGTCAAGTTTCTAATGTGAAAAAATTCGATGCTATTGAGACATCTTCAGGACAGCATGACTCCGAGCTCAGTGTTTCGAACAGCCAGGCCTTGCCTGCTCACTCTGAAGATGGCTTCAGGAGCACTGGCTGCCCCTCTTGCCTCATGGAGGAGACTTAAATGCACATTTTCGATCCCCTCTGTCCTGCATCAGCATTCTGCTGCCCCCTTAATGCTCTGGAGAAGCATGGGGGGAAGGCGGGCTCACTCTATTCACACGCATCCCTCCTCTTTGGTGACAGAAAATCAGTGAACATCATGGGGTGTTTTTTTTTTTTAAATTTCTGCATATCATACATACAACAGGAAAAGGTACTGCAAGCATTTTTGCTTGACAGGGTGACAGAAAAGTATGGATTGTTGGTGTCTAATATTTGTGGCCAGTGCTGTGATAACCGTATCAAGGGAGTGCAGGCCTTTGTTCTTTCATTGTACCTTGCTCTCCTCACAACTGGAATTTGTTGGTGCATGCTGCAGACAGTTTTGGCAAAGCAAGGGAATTTTTTTGTAATATTCCATCGCATCTGGAGCAACAAAATGCTGGGAAGTGGCCTTACAGCATTTGCCAAAACTGACCCTGAAAGATCTGTCTCAGACATCATGGGATATTACATGCTGGAATAGTTGCTGTCAAATTGGTTTCCTGCATTTAACAGAACTAATTGATGAATTAAGAGCTGCTTTCTCATGGTAGACATCTTGAGTACCTCACAGGTACACACAGACAAAAACATACTTAGCCATCTTTGTACTTAATTGTACCCTCAAGGCAATAACAGTTTTTTTTAATTTAATTGTACCCTCAAGGCAATAACAGTTAAAAAAAATAAAATTTAAATCCCCAAAGGAATATTTTTATTTTGCAATAGACTACAAAACTACAAAGAAATATTAGGAAAGGGATTACAACTAGGGATAAAGGAAAGAAAACCACACTAAACTAAAACCCCAAGAGGAGGAGATCTTTTCACTGTTAATAAAAATGTTAGTACAACAAGTGTTAGTATCACAATATACTTGTACAGTTCTTGCTTATAACAGTTTGCTATATATATGTTATTTTGTTAGTTGTTACGAGAGAAGTCTCTGATCATCTTCTTATTCTTCGCTTCAAAAGGCCATTTTCCAAGTTCTTCTGCCTTTACTTCGGCTTTCTGTCTCTAAAATCGAATACAACTCTGGCAGGTCCTGCATCCTTTTCTGCAGTAGAGTCCTCTTCTGTTCCAGAGGTAGCAGAGTCACTAGACTTTGTTTCTTCCTCTTTGGACTCTTCATCTGTCCCCAGCTGACGACACAAAAATTCTTTAGCTTTAAAGGTGGAGTCTATCTTCTCTCTTTTATTGTTGATCTTAA